CTAGAAACATCGATGAGAGAGAAACATCGATCAGCTGCCTCTTGCACACCCCCTACTGGGGATGTGCCCACAACCCAAGTACATGCCCTTGACCAGAATCGAACCTGGGACCTTTCAGTCCGCAGGCTGACGCTCTATCCACTGAGCCAAACCAGTTTCGGCTGGGGTGCATTTTGAATGCACCATGTGGAAAGGGTCTGAAGAGTCCAGAGGTGGAAGCACCCATGGTCTGAGATGGAGGATGGATAGATGCTTCAGAGATGGCTTAACACCACACTCAATGTCTATGCTTTTATTTTCTCATTTTTAATAATTAAAGTAAAGTATATTTTCCTCTGAGTATAGCTTGAACTCTAGTCCATAAATTTTTGGATGCTTATTGCTATTTAATTTGTTTCTTTAATTACTACTAATATTGTATATTTTTCATATTTAATTACTATTGGCCATCAGTATATCTTATTTCATGAATTTTCTCTTCTCATCCTATCTAATAAAAGAGTAATATGCAAATTGACCATCACTCCAACACACAAGATGGCTGCTCCCATGTGGTCAAAGATGGCTGCCCCCCGTGTGGACATAAGATGGCCACCACAAGATGGCCGGCAGAGGAGGGAAGTTGGGGGGGACCAGGCCTGCAGCAGAGATCAGTTGGGGGCGAGCAGGCTTGGGAAGTTAGGGGTGACCAGACCGGCAGGGGAGGGCAGTTAGGAGCAATTGGGCCAGCAAGGGAGCAGTTAGGCATTGATCAGTCTGGTGGGAGAGTAGTTAGGGGTTGACCAGGCCAGCAGGTAGAAACATTTAGGAGGAATCAGACAGACAGGCAGACAGGCAAGCAGTTGGGAACCAGCAGTCCTTTGGGTAGCTGGATTGTAGAGAGCTATCCGACTGCCCATTTAGTCAGATCGAGCCTAAATAAGCAGTCAGACATCCCTTGCGGGGTCCAAGATTGGAGAGTGTGCAGGGTGGGCTGAGGGACACACCACCTCTGTGCACAAATTTTGTGCACTGGCCCTCTAGTTTTTAGATATTTCTCTTCTCATTCCTTCTTCAATATTCATCATTTTCTTGTTGATTTATCTGTTATATACTTTGCAAATAAATGAGCATTTCAATTTTAATCTTACATTGCTTAACTTTTTGGCAGAGAAGTTTTATATTTTAATTCTGATTTTATTTTCCTCTAAATGCTTACCCATATAACTGAAAATTATTAATTGAACCATTCATTATTTTCCTATAACTTTGGCAATCTATTTTTTGTCATGCATATATGACATATATGTATAGACATACTAGGGTCTCATTTTGGTGGCCTTTACATTTGGCCCATCTGTTCCTGTGTCAGTTACACACTATTACAATTATGTTAGTTCTATAAAACCTTTTAACAAAAGAGGACCAACTCCATTCTCATTGTTTTTAAAGTAATTTTTCTGACTGTTTTAGGTTGTTTATTCTCTTATAATACCTCTTGATGAGTTCCTCCCAACCTCACTCTTTTTGGAACTGAGTCTTTGGAGAACTCACATCCCTCTGGTCCTCTTCTTATCTTCTCAGGCCCGCTGTGGCCAGGGCCAGGCATCCTGGGCTTGCTCAAAACCCAGCACCCAGCAGCGCTTGTACCCTCCCCTTCCTGCCCCAATGCAGCCCTCTGGTCACAGAACGCATTCCCTTGGCCTATAGGTGTCATCTGACCTTTGGCCTAGGCCTGACCCCATCCATTTACATGTGAAATGAAGCATTAAAGGAATTAATAAAAGTGCAGAGAGGCTGGCTGGAGGATCACTGTGTTATTTCCTCAGGTCAATAGGCCTGGAAATGTATTGAAAGCACTTTCTTCAACCATACAAACAGGCTTACAAATAAGAATTTAGTATTTCATTCACTCAACCCTTTCATTTTTTCACTCTGTCTGCTTACTAAACAAATATGTAAAGTACCATTTTGCTCAGGTAGGGAGAGCCTTTGTGAGTCCCTCTGTCTCTCTGTTTGAGTCAGGCAGTCTGAGAGAGACCATATTGCTTAGGTAACTGAAAGTCAAGTAGGTTAATATTCAAAATTTATGCTGTAAAGATGGGCTATGTATGCTGCAGTGACAACCTCCAAATCACACTCAAGGTCCAGGTAGATCCATTTTGATAAATATTTAACTTATAAATACTTTGTCCCCTCTAGTAGATACCTGGGTTCTTGGCTCCAGTATATAAGCACCGGTAGCTTGACGGTAGCTTGAAAAGGTCAAGCACACCATTAAGCTTGAATTAAGGATATCCGGAAGATAAGAGTGATTGAGAATGCCCTGAACTTAAGCAACTTCGGTGTTTTATATCAAAGGAATTCAGGACAAAGATAAAGATCCTAACACCTGCAAACATCAGAGTCTGCCCAGGAGGTAATCTGAGAATATACTATTGAACTGAGCAGGGCTTCCCTATGGAGCTGCTGTGGTTGTCACCCTCCACACCTAGAAGGACCCTAGGCTGCTACCAGGATGTCACCTGACAAGGTGAGGATCATAGCATCTCCTGAGAGGTCAGAGTGACGCAGTCCTGGCTTCACTTGGCACCCAGGCTACTATACACTAGGGACCAAGCTACTATGGATGAGGTAGGTCTAATGCTGTTTAATGCCCATATTCACTTCTGCCCATGGTAGAGGAGGAGAGGTCTCTGTGCTCAGAAAGGGTTAAATCCTGAATTTTCTGAAATACTTGCTTTAGTCCTTGGCTGTCGTCGGGCTGTGTCTACAGAACCCAAATGGCCCTTCTTACTTGCTCTCTGTGCTGGAGAGCGAACCAGACCCCATGATAAGGTGGATCTACAGCTTCTTCTAGGGCTTGGGGTCTCCACAGGGTTGGGAGGTCACCCTTATCTGATCTCAGGTCTCCTTCAACACCACAGGCCACTTCTTTTCTTCCTATTGAGTCAGGTATGCCATTTCCACTCCTCTCGTGTCAAAAAAATAGGTTGCCTTACGTGCTGTGGTGGGAAGTGGTCACTTTTAAAGGAACTGACAGACCACCATGACCTTGCATGGTTCCCAGTGGCCATACTGTGGTATGTGGTCCACCCCCAGGCCTAGTCTCTTGGGCCAGGCCAATTCACTTCCACAGGAATTTTGACCTGATATCAAGCAAGAGTTTCTGATCTCTGTGTGACACATGACTCTGTGCTTGGGCAGTTGAGAGCCGGAAGCAGAAGCAGGTGGTGGGAAAGGGAGGAAGAGAGGCGAGGGTGCACAGAGGCAGAAGCAGGGAGGCTGCACAGCGCTGTGTGTGCACCTGCAGTCCTTGAGCCACCTCAGAACTCTTCATTCTTGGGAAATATCCCTCCCTGGGCTTAAACCACATCCACTGCTTTTTCCTTTTTATTTGCAATGAAATACCTTTGTCAGCTCCCTGGCGGATGGTGTCCAGGTGTGACTTCTGAATTGAAGATTATTTGCTCACCCTTGGATAACTGACATATTTGAGAAGCTGCCAAGACCTGGGGCTTTTTTGTTAGTAACAGGAACAAGGTCTCAGCAGAGAGACTAAGCTGAGTGCTGCTTGGAGGTGTGGTCCTTGTTTTCCTATTTTTATCTATCAATAATTACTTTATTTAAATTATCTTTCATTTTTATATTATAGCTGACATACTGTGTTATATTAACTTCAGGTGTACATCCCAGTGATTATCATTACATAACTTACTAAATGATCATCCTGATCAATCTCTTATCCATCTGACACCATGGTGATTGGATGTGGCTTTTTGCTCTCAGACCTGCTGTCCTACATCTGAGGTGTGGCGGGGAGTATTGGGAAAAGGGGTGTGGCTTCCGGTCCCTGGGAACAAACCATGGCTGGCTTCCTGTCTGGAGAGGAGTCTTGTTGCATCTCCTATGAGCCTGGGCTTCATCCAGGTGTCCTTCCAATTTCTTAAGCACGAGTGTCATTAAAGTCAACTGGTACACAGAGGCCTTTGGCCCAGAAGTTGACAGGCCAAAAGTATAAGGGTTGGGATCAGATGACCTTTCACGTGACCAAGTTGTATCCCTGACACACCTGGGGCCTTGAGCAAGTTTCCCCTCTCTGTGGAATGAGGTGAGGAACTGGCCGGCTGGCTCTGAGGCTGCGAGCGGGAAGAACCACCTGGACGAAGGCAGGGGGAGGGCTTGGGGTGAACCTGAGCGTGGCTGGATCTCAGCTGGAATGGGGATTGTGAGGTGGGACTCCCACCCATGAGCCTGAGATCTCAGCTAGAATGGGGATTGTGAGGTGGGACTCCCACCCATGAGCCGGCAGCCAGTCACAACGACAGGGTAGAAGGAGGTGCTGGTCTGCAGGGATGCGAAGGAGGCTACTCAACTGGGCCACACAGTCCTGTCAGGGAGGCAGATGACCTTCCAGGTCAGACCACGGAGCTGTGCTCCTTCTGGGGTTCAGGCCTTGAGGCAAGGAGCAGCCACTGAACCTCCCAGCCCTGGGGCTCCCGCTAGCATGGGCCAGAGGAGTCTGGGGCTCCAGGAGAGGTCCTGAGCAGGCATGAAATGTGAGTGCCAGGGATCTGAGCCCTGGACAGAACTAGCTAATCCCTGGAACAAAGTAAGGAGGGAAGAAAAGGAAGAGTTAAGGCTTGAGCACATCTCCATTAAGTGATCAGGAAGAAGAGGAGGGGCTAGCAAAAGAGGAAAATCTCCTAAGGGGCACCAAAGCAAGAGGAGAAAGAAGACAGTGGAGGGAATGACAAGCTGGATGGACAGTGTGAGGAGGAAGAGGGCTGAGGAGGAGCCTTTGGATTTTGGGACCTAATTTGATCCCTTGCAACTGGAAAAGCAGGCTGGCCCCTTCTCCCCCTGACAGGGTAGCCAGTGTGTGAAGCCAGTTGTGTATTTTATTCTGAGAGAGGAGTTCCATGGGAGCACTTGGCTGGCCTCATCCCAGGGCTCTGTGCAGAAGCCTGGCCACAGAGCCCTCAGCTCTTCATTGTCATGTGGGCAGCACAGGGGAGGGCTCAGAACTCGCAGATCACGAGGCGCTTCTCTCCACAGGACTTGTCATTCCACTTGCCATTGGTGAAGATCTCCACACAGTCCTCATTGCCGCCATTGTTGTTGGGCTCCCCGGGGGCCCAGTTGGAATAGCCCAGGGGCTCCCCTCCTGGGTAGACGAACTTGCCCTCCGTCTCAGAGTCAGTCATGCTCAGGAACGCAGCACCCTGGTTCTCAAACTCGACCAGCTCTTGCAATGCTTCGTTCTCAGCTGCAGAGCGTGGAGAGGGCAGCTGCCCCCCAGCCTGGGCGCACACTTGCTGTGCCTCCTGGAAAGATTTCTCAAAGCCTGCTGCCTTGAAGACCTTCTGGCCAACACGTCGGCCATTGGGGAACAGCTCCACTAGGAGGAGAGGACAGTCAGGTTAGGGTTCTGGGGGCACCTGCCAAAGCCCCATGGCTCTGAGACTTTTGTGCTCCAACCAGAGCCCAGGGCCTCACATAGAGGGCCTCAGAGCACCAGGGAGGACAACGCTGAGACCCCTGGCTCCGTAGTGCACTCTGGAAGGTGGATCTGACTGTCTAGTTACAGGTGAGAACCCTGGGCTCAGAGAGGGGAGCTCAACTTCATCCCATGTAGAGTTGGGAGGTCACCCTTATCTGATCTCACAGTAAAGCTGAGACATGCTCTTTCTATCTCACCCCATGTTGCATGGCAGAGTCGGTTTCCCAGTTCCTGGGTGGGGGACTGGAAAGCGTTGGCATGGTGTGGCCTCTGAGAGCTCAAACAAGGAAGGTGCCCCTTCTCCTCTCACTGGGACCCTGTGTAACAGCAGGGCATGTGGCATTGGCAGGGAGGCCCGTGATGTGTGTGGATCTGGGAAAGAATAGGGGAGGGGGGCCCTCTGAGAGCAGCCATGTGCTAATCTCTGCACTGAATGCAGCCCAGGCTGTCGCCTAGCTGGCATGTGGGTGAGGATGGAGGGCTGGGAGAGAGGCCGAAGACAGCTGAGAGGTGGACGTCAGGGGCAAGAGAGAGTCAGTGCTGGAGAGAGCCCTGTCTGGGACCTAGAGGGCCAGATGTTCAGCCCCGCTTGGCCATGCCTGTCCAAGTGGCAGAGAAAAATCGCGTCCTTTTGGGGGTTTCCAGTTCCTCATCTTTAAGTTGGGAATACAATTTATAAAAGCATCACCTGTGTGACATTCAACAGCTTTTTTCATTAAATCTCATTTTCCACCCCTTTGTTGTGTGTGTGTGTGTGTGTGTGTGTGTGTGTGTGTGTGTGTGCTTTAATATATTTTTATTGATTTCAGAGAGGGAGAGGAAGATAGAAACACCAATGATGACAGAAATCATTGATTAGCTGACTCCTGTACACCCGCTACTGGGAATCAAGCCCAAAACCCAGACACATGCCCTCACCGGGGATTGAACCATGATCTCCTGGTTCATAGGCTGATGTTGAACCACTGGGCCATGCTATCCGGGCTCATTTTTCATCCCTTTGACTGCTGGGTTTGTGCATAGAAGCCTTCAGGGCTCCTGAGAGGGCTGTGCTCCAGACCCAAAGAGCTGAGGAGGAGCCCAGGCTGCACCCTGACCCACCGTGACCCTTTCACAAGGGTTCAGAGAGCAGACTCTCCACAGGATCAGGAGGGCACACACAGCAGCCCTGGACAAGAGTTCATCTGCCATTCATTACATGCACGCGGGAGGGTCTGTGTGTGCAGGCAGGAATATGGCCACGTGTCCATCTGAAGGTACATGGGAGCACTGACGGCCCACCTGGGTGTGTGTGAATGTGTGTGCTAGTGGGTGTAGATGACATGAGGTGAGTGATGGCATGTGTGTCATGCACACACATGTGGCAGGGGCATGACACAAATTTTCCTCTGTTTGCATCAGTGTGAATGTGAGGAAGTGAGCACACATGCATGTTTGTGAAGAGAGGGAGACATACCAAATGCTTGAAACCTCTCCCTTGGTACATGGGTATTCAGTGGCCTAAGGAATGTAAGAGCCAACCCTATGTCTCACCCTTGCCTGCCCTCCTCCTTCAGAAACTCCTCTTTGGATCAATGAGATTTGCTGAATGATTTGAGCTGAAAGCTAACATGGGGAAAGCAGGAAGGAAGAGGGGCAAATTAGGGACTCAGGTGGAGATGCCCACAAGCACAGGGCACTGGCTGTGCTCCTGGGGCCTCTGACTCCTCACACCCAAGTTAGGGAAGAGTCTCCACCATGAACACCCAGGGAAGAGTGGGACAGCGCAGTACTAGGCAGAGCCCAGGGCAGCCCGCACCCTGGTGGACTCAGGGCCTGTCTCAGGTAAGATACTCGATGGCCACATGCCAAGATCAGACTCTCACAGCTTTGAACCCTAGCACAGTATAACAGTCGCAACTCTCAGGATAGTTGTCTGGAGTCACAGCTGCTGTGGGCTGAGCAGCAACATCCTGGGGGGGTCTGCACACCTAGCCCCATAGAGATCAGAATGCATCCTGGTAGTGGGGTGTCCTGGGCCCAGTACAAGTCAGCAGGAGGGAAGGTCTGAACAGCTGGGCTTGGGCATTGAACTGTTCGGGTCCCAGGTGGCTGTGATTGGTGGGGGCTGAAGCTTAGTAGCCTTGACCATGCTGGTGCCAGCCCTCTGAGCTGGTGTAAGGGCCACAGCCTGCTACGTTTCCCTTGCATCTGCTTCCAGCTCCTTGAACACATGGCTGCCCTGCTCTGCCCCACCCTATGCTTAGCCTCAGGTCCTGCCCCATCCCAGGTCCAGACCATCATCCAAACCCAATACCATCCTAGAGCCCACAATCTAGGCCCCGCCTGGGCCCTGCCCGTGGCGACTGGCTCAGTCCAGGCACTCACCTTTCTTAGACTGAAGGAAGGCTCCCTGAAGGCGTCCCACCTGCCCCTGCAAGGCCTCCACCTGCTGCCTCAGAGCAGCGATGTCTGCAGGAGAGAGGATACCAGTGAAGACCACTCCCTCACAGCCAGGCCTCGGCTCAGAGTCCGGGTCCCAAAGAAAGGGTGCTCAGTGATAGGCTTTTCTGGGAGAGGGGCAGGAGCTGGGCCCCAGCTGGCCCTCCTGCCCTTGAGTTCCCTGAAGCTCTGTTGTGAGCACACTGTGCCCTGGGAAGGTCCTGGCACCCACTAATGCTAATCCAGATGACATTTCACAGCAAAATCTAAGAATCTAGGAGCATATTACTAGAGGGGGTTGAGGAAATGGGGGAATTGCATTTCCCTTAAGTACTTCTCAACTCTGGGCTATTTGATGCTCAAAGCTCTCTGATGAGCTGGGAAGAGAGCTGAGCTGTCCCAGTGACCCGATGGGTAGCTGCTCAGGCTTGAGCCTGAGTACTGGGGCTCTCTAGAACCTCATCTTCCTGCCTTCAGCCCAACAGCCTTTCCTGCATTTACAACCCCACCCCGCCACCACAATAAGCTGACCACTGAGCAGTGGGCCTTCCTCCCTCTGCACCCTGATTGGGCCCCAGAGCTAGGGGAGGTGAACTTACCTGAAAGCCCACTCTCTCCCTTTGGTCCTCTCTCCCCAGGAGCACCTCTGTCTCCCTTTAGTCCCTGGAGGCCCCTGGCGCCTGGAGGTCCCAATGGGCCCGGGGGTCCTGCAAGCCCTGAGATCAGACAAGAAGAGGAGAGTAAGCTCGGCACACATTCTCCTGCACTTTCCCTTCCAGCACATGGACTGTGCTACTGTCCAGCAATACACCCTCCCACGTACAGTCTGTCCCAAAGCCAGCCAAACACCGGCTCTGTGCACTACTGTCTCAGTACCCAGCACCCGGCCTTCCCAGGATGCAGACTGTCCCTGCTGCTCACACCCCACTCTCCCCAGTTACAGAGCTCAAGCCCAGCAAGGCACCTCCTTGCACAGACTCCCCATGCCCAGTGTTGCAGCTCTGAGCTGGCGGGTGATGGGGGAGGGACAGGCATCCACAGCTTCAGGTGGACATAGGAGAACCGAAGGCCTGCCCCAGCTGTGCCCATCACTCACCTGGTGGCCCTGCATTCCCAGGGGCTCCACGCTCACCAGGGGCACCTTGCTCTCCTTTGAGACCTGGAGGGCCTCTTGGCCCTGCAGAGCCCTGCATGCCTGGGGCACCCGCTTCTCCTGAGGAAGGAACAGATTGGGATAAAGGCTGCTGACAGTGTGTACAGACTGGATCATTTCCTCGGCTCGACATGGAGAGGGAGACAGTGCACAGTCCCCACTGTCTGGGCTCCGCAGATGTAAGGGTGTGGGAGGCAGGGACCACAGCAAGGCCTGCCAGAGGTAAAGGCCTGGCTTCCCTGGCATGCTGAGCATCCTTAGGTCACATCAGGGATTGCCATTGTCATTCCTCCCTCTACCTTCCGGACCACCACTCACCAACCTCCTACCTTTGGGCCCAGGCTCTCCTTTGGGGCCTGGTCCGCCTTGGGGGCCTACATCCCCCTTCATTCCCGAGGGACCTTCTCTTCCAGCTGGCCCGGGTGCACCTGTTGGTCCCTGAAGTCCTGGGGAAAGGAACAGCCAATCAGTGCACTCGGTCTTCTCAGAACAGGGAGACAGTGAGAAAGCGAGAGCAGTCATAGAGGTCAGACAACAGCACCATCCTACAGACGCCACCCAGAAGGACTACCACCATCCCTGTGTGAACCCAGTGCCATCTGCAGGGCACCCTCCTTCCTGAGTGGGTATGTGCATCCTCCCGCATGGCCTACAGGCAGGCATTTCAGTCCCCACCCACTGCTCACCACGTGGCCCCGAGTCTCCCTTCGGTCCAGGTTCTCCAGCAGAGCCGTTGTCCCCTTTGGGCCCAACTGGGCCAACAGGTCCAGGCATCCCCCTTGGCCCTGGAGCTCCTGGTGGACCTGTAGCAGCAGAAGAAATGGGCATAAACCTGGCTCAAAGCCTAGGAGGAGCCAGCGATGCAGGTCCTGTTCCTTCAGGTTCCACAGGTCCTGTTCCTTCAGGTTCCTTCAGACATTCCACCTCCACCCTCCTCAGTCCAGTGGTGACCCAGGAGACAGGTGTGTATAACCCCATTTCACAGGCAAAGAAACAGAGCTGGAGGGGGTCCAGCCAAGGACCCTCTGACTTCCATGCAGTGCCCAGTGCCTGCCCACCGGCTGCAGGATTATAGCAGGAGATCTGCCAGCTTTCACTCTGGATCAGTGGTTGGCAAACTCATTAGTCAACAAAGCCAAATATCAACAGTACAAAGATTGAAATTTCTTTTGAGAGCCAAATGTTTTAAACTTAAACTTCTTCTAATGCCACTTCTTCAAAATAGACTCTCTCAGGCCATGGTATTTTGTGGAAGAGCCACACTCAAGGAGCCAAAGAGCCACATGTGGCTCGTGAGCTGCAGTTTGCCGACCACTGCCCTGGATCATGGACTCCTGGATTTCCCCTTCCTAGGACCAAACTTTATATCAGAAATGGTCCCTGACAGTTGTCATCAGGGAATGCAAATCACATCCATGAGATATCATCTCACATCTCCTAGAATGGTGACTATAAAAAAACCAAATAGCATAATTGTTGCTGAGGATGTGGAGAAGAAGAACCTCTATGCACTGTTGGTGGGATTGTAATTTGGTGCAGCCACTATATAGACCAATCTGGAGTTCCTTAAGAAATTAAAAAGATAATATTTTTTAAAAGTATGACCCAGCAATACCATTTCTGAGTTTTATCCAAAGGAAATAAGACACTAATTTGAAAGATATCGGTACCCTCATGTTCATTGCAACATTTTTTAGAGTAGCCAAGAGGTGGAAACAACCTAATAGTGTCCATAATGGATGGAGGGATAAAAATATCACACACACACACACACACACACACACTGGAATACTATTCAGCCATAAAAAGAATCCTACCATTTGCCACACATGAATTGATCTTGAAAGAATTATGCTAAGTGCCATATGTCATACAAATTAAGACAGACACAGTGTAATCTCACTTATATCTGGATTGGAAGAAACAAAAATAAGAACCTGAACTTGCCTTAGCAATTTTGGTTAGCCGTCTTCCCACTGGTGATCAGTGTATGCCATAGTGACCAGTCAACTAGTCAATGATTTGGTTGACTGTTTGGTCGGACAAATAGCATATTAGGCTTTTGTGTGTGTGTGTGTATATATATATATATATATATATATATATATATATATATATATATATATATATTAGAGGCCCGGTGCACCAAATTCATGCACAAGGCGGGGGTGGGGGGAAGGGCGGTGTGTCCCTCAGCCCATCCTGCACTCTCACCAATCTGGAACCCATCAATCCAAAACTGCTGGTTCACAATTGCTTACCTGCCCACTTTCCTGATTGCCCCTAACCACTTCTGCCTGCCAACCTGATCACCCCTTAACCACTCCCCTGCCAGTCTGTTTGCCCCTAACTGCCCTCCCCTGCAGGCCTGATCGCCCCCAATTCCCCTCTCTTGCCTGCTGGTCCCTCCCAACTGCCCTCACTTGTTGGTCATCTTGTGTCAGTCTCCTTGTGTCCACATGGGGGCAGCCATCTTGTGTGTTGGAGTGATGGTCAATTTGCATATTATTCTTTTATTAGATAGGATAGATTACATCTCCATGATAAATAGAAAAAGCATGGTCATATGTTCTGATACCTATAGAAAACAGACCAAATTATTGTCTACTGCATCATTAAGGGGAAAAGGACATTATAAACATTATATTGAATATGGTTCTGCTTCATAAACATGTACAGACATTATAGGGTGTGCACATCAAATTTATTGGAAAACACCAGAAAAGACATATTCAAAAAGTTAATTTTTTTTCTAAGTGTCACAAAGATCATTTCAACTTGCTTCTTTTTGTTTATCTTTAGTGACCACATAGTATTTTTCTATTGAAAAATAGTCAAATATTTTAAAAAGACCTGTTATCTGAAGACAGGCTGCCTAAGTCTTAAATTATGCAAGAGTTACCCAAAAAAGACAAAAGGAACTGGCCCTAGCCAGTTTTTCTCAGTGGTTAGAGCATCAGCTTACAGACTGAAGGGTCCCAGGTTCAATTCCGGTCAAGGGCACGTACCTCAGTTGCAGGCTCCATCTGACCAATCAATGTGTCTCTGTCACATCGATGTTCCTGTCTCTTTGTCTCTCCCTCTCCTTTTCCCTCTCTCTAAAAGTCAATGGGGAAAACATCCTGGGGTGAGGATTAACAAAAAAAAGACATGAAAGGGAGCAAATGGCTATTAACATTTAAGGATTTTATACTTAATTGTATGAGTTTGGCTCTTTCTTTTTATTGAAGTGAAAGTTATGGGGAAGCATGGACTTGGTAGGAATGTCTGTCTGTAAGGAGGGGCCTCTGGGGGAACCTTGCCAAAAGCAGCAGCCCCTACCTTGACTTTTCCAAACAAGTCTGATCATGGGGTGTTTCGCTAGAATCTCTGTATTTAATCTTTAAAGACCTGACCTTGTAGAAGCATATACTTCCTCAAGGATACTTGCCTGCTGATTGTATCTGGAGGTTAATTTGAGCTCAAGCTGTTGTTACAACAAAAAGCCAACAAGGCAAGCGTACAGGACAGCTTTTACAATTGAAGTAAAAGAGTAGCATAGCTCAAAAACCTGTGTCGAAGTATTCTGTTCATCTGTCAGTCAGGGTCTGCTAATCAGCCCTGGCAGAAAGTTCTAGAATGTAAAACCAACCCTTTAAAAGTATACAGTTCATTGGTATTTAGCACCTACACAATGTCATGCAACTGCCACTTCTATTTAGTTCAAAACGTTTAACCACCCAAAGGAAAACCTCCTAGGCTTTGGGCAGCCACTCCCTATCCCCCATGCCCCCACCCCACCCCTGGCTATCACAACTCTGCTTCTTGTCTCTATTACCTACTCTAGATAATTCTTATCAATGGAATTATACAATATGTGACCTTTGGTGTCTGGCTT